CCAGTAATTGGAGGGGAATGTTGTTTTCAGCCGCGCTGAGCTCCTCTGCTCCTTAGCCTTGAGCAAGCTGCAGGCTGCTGCCTGCCTCAGTTTCCCTCGTGGATAAAGGAGGTTAATAACCACCTTGGAGTTCTCCAGGATACACCAGTGGAGAGCTTTTTATAAGAACAAAGTGCTGTAATTATTGTTGCTTTTATTACTGTACTGGTCTGTGCGTCTGAAAACTTGGGGTGATTTTCATACCTAAATATGGCTCCATGTCTCTTCCTTGCAGGGACACTAATGAGCAGCTCAGACCACCAAAATTAGGGGTTTAATTTTGGATTTATTTTAGTCGGGATAGTCCTCTGGAGCTTTCAGTGTTTTTTCCTCTACTTATAGAGGGAACGTTGCAAATTTTAAATCCCATCCCTGAGGCTGGAATTTGTCTTGTGGAGCTTGAGCACTGTAAAATTGGGCTGAGGTGGTGTCTAAGCTTTTTCTGTTTGCTGGGGAAGGAGGGGAGATGGTGCTCTTGATGCTCCAAGCTGCAATTTCCAGGCTGAGTTTGTCTGACTCTGAACTTCCTCTCTCTGGCTGCAGTGGGAAGGAGTTGAGGTGATGAGCTCTGCTCAGCATGCCTAAATGTAAGAAAGGTGAAAGGAAATAATGACTTGTGATCATAGAATGGTTTGGGTGGAAAGAGACCTTAAGGCTCATCCCATCCCACTCCCTGCCATGGGCAGGGACAGCTCCCACTGTCCCAGGCTGCTCCCAGCCCCATCCAGCCTGGCCTGGGGCACTGCCAGGGATCCAGGGGCAGCCACGGCTGCTCTGGGCACCCTGGGCCAGGGCCTGCCCACCCTCCCAGCCAGCAATTCCCAATTCCCAATGTGCCAAAATCTGTCCCTGCCCTCTGGCAGTGGGAGCCGTTGCCTGGGTGCTGTCCCTGCCTGCCTTGTCCCCAGGGGCTGTGCAGCTCTCCTGGAGCCCCTGCAGGCCCCGGCAGGGGATCTGAGGTGTCCCTGGAGTCCTCAGCTCTCAGCCTGTCTCCACAAATTTCAAGGACTTGATTCCCCACTTGGGTTCTGCCAGTGAATATCTTGTGTTTCCTTTGCAATGATAAGCAGGCCGTGCAGTGCAAAGGGACAGTGTTTCTTATGGAATGGCTGCTTTTAACCTACAGCTGAAATTTTACGCTTGAGTTCCCCTTTCTGCTTGTGCTGCCGTTATAATGAAGTAAGGGATGATAGGAGTGTGGATCTTACAGCATGGGTTAGGCTGCTGAGTGTTGAGATGTGGCTCTAAGAAAAGCAAGGGAGCAGGCAGCAGATGAGAAGTGATTTAATTTTCTGTGTTGCAAGTTTAAAATGAGAATTGGTTTGTGTAGACCTGGATTTTTGTGCATGTGAGTTCTGATTCTGTTGTTCAGAGTGGAAGTAGTTGTGATGAGCTGTGTAAATTAAGGGAGAGTTGGACACTTGGAAATGCTGTCCCCAGGATGACCTCTGCCTCTGAATTCTTTGGGGAAGAGAAAAAGAAAGCAGGCTTTCCCTCCCCCCTCATAGCATTAAATGTCAACAGCTGTATTTTGCTGCTGGTACTTATTAACTTTCAGCCTTGCCTTTTTCTAGCATTTATTGCTTTAGAAATGAATTAGTGCTTGTCACCAGGGAAATGTACTTCTTCCAGCTACCTTGGGTTCTCAAAAGATGTAATTTTTCTAAAGTAGATACTTTAAATTACTGACCAGGGAACCTCCTGACTGTTCTACATTAAGTCTTGGTTCTGGCATGGTTTGTCTTGATGTCTGTTTTTTTAATCTTTTGAAATCCTGTTAGGGTCAGTAATTACGTGTAGTGTCTCTATTATAAAGAAAAGATGATGAATTAAACCTATGCTTGCAGTTAATTCTTTTTACCTTTTCAACCTGAAAGCATTTTTTCACTTTATTTCCTAGCTGAAGCCAATTGTCGTTATTTCTTGGTACCATTCATTCACTTTGCATCACATCACTGGATGATCACGTACTTGGCTAGGGAAGTATTATTTATTTCCAGATTTAACCACTCCTGTCCCTTCCATGCAGCCGTGAAAAGGAAACAGCTTTTGGGAACAGAGGATTTTTATAAGATTTTTTTTAATATGCCTTCACTGCAACTTCCATCTAGTAGTTGTTGCCGGTAACTTCTTTATTGTTTGGTTTTGAGTGGTTTTTGTTGATTTTTTTTTAAACACATGTGTGCATTTATGCTTATTTATTCTTTTGTAAATATGGGGGATCTGAGGATTTGTTGCAGTTTAGTGGCCATTATCTTGGCTTTGTCAGTGATTTACTGATGATAGGTGTAGATAAACCTGGTGCTGGGGGCCTTTCCAAATTTCCAGATCTGATCCTGAAAGGCAAGGCTGAGAACTGCAAAAATAGATCTCTGCTGTGCTTGCTTTGTAAATAGGCATCTTGTTTGGGGTTTTTTTTCCCAGATTGTTAAATTGGTGGCTATTACCCTGACAAATATAATTACAGTGTATAAATTATATTGAAAATATTTTTGTCTGTTTGATGTATACTGAATTTAAGCTAAGTTATAAGGTGTGCTCTTTGGAAGTGTGGAAGATACAAGAGTGGAGCTACAGATAACAAGTTTATGCTTGTATTTCCTACTGATGAAGACTTTCACACAAGTTATTTCTATGGGTAGGTGATGAGAATATCACTCTGCATGTATATACATTTATGATACATTTTTGCATGATTATACATGTAGGAGTGGTACAATTTTGACTTGAGACTATTGGTGCCTTTTGTCCAAATACAATTTTACTCGTGTGGACACGTCTATCTAAAAATCAAATTTCGCTTCTGCTTTTGGAGGTCTGAGTCAGAAGCGAGAGAAACAAAGGCCTGAGGGAACAGTCCCAAGCTCCTGAAATCTTAGATAACCTGTTGAAAAAATGGTCAAATAGTCAATATTGTACTTGACCCTCGTATCTTCTGCACTCGACTGTTTATTTTTACAGCTCACATTATATATGTTCACGCTGAACTCTGATGATAAGACTGAAAGAAAACATGCCTCCCATGACTCAGTCCAGCCCTAACTTCTGCATGTAATTTAATCATCAGCTGTCACAAATAATTAACTGAACATCAGCCAGCTTAATTCCGAACTCGGTATTCCATTATTTTGTAATTGCCTTTTAAAAAGACAAAGATTGCCTTCCAGTTAATTATCAGGAATTCTGTTCCAGTCATAATCATCAGCGTTTCATGTTGCGAACAGTTTGGTCTTTAATACATTGGCATTTAACTACTCATTTATTTTTGTTGGGTCTGTTTTAAGTTTGCAATGTAACATTGTTTCATGGAGTTGTTGTTTTGGAGGCAGGTCTGAGCCGAAGTATTTTGCGAATTTCTTCATACCTTGTTGCAAAACTGATCTTTAGTACGACTTAAGCAAAATGTCACTCTCTGATGAACTGTGTTGCTAATCACAAAGTAGGGGTTTCTGAAAATAGTCAGTTGAATTTTATTTCAGGCACCAAGTTACTAAAAAACACCCCCTCCAAAAAACCCCTAAAACCAAAATCCATTCTAAAAACCTCAGAAGAACAGCCTTTCAGAGAAGTAAATTTGAAACTTCTAGTTCATCATGTTCTTTCAGTCTTCAACAGCCACTCAAAACTATGAAAAGAAACCAGTTTTTCCTAAGGCTTTTCATTTTATTCTTTATCACTTCAAAATATTCATTAGTCATTTTGTAACTCTGAAAGTCCTGTCTTCCTGAACACATTCTTAGCTTATGATTATTTTATATTATCCATACAAGTTGTACCCTCCATGTATCACACCCATAACAAAAGGTTCTGCAGATGCTCAGCTGCAGAACTCCAAGAACCTCCTTGGAGTTAAAAGAATTGCAAAGATGCTGAGCCTTGGCCCAGCCTGTGTTTGTGTCTCATGCTCATTTGTGTGGATGAAGCCTTGGTCCAAATAAAGTTTTGATCCTCTCCTTTGGGGAGGAGGAGCTCCAATCACTTCCATCCATGCTGAGTCAGTGAGCTGCAGATGGGGCAAGGCATTTGAGCTGAAACACTCACATCCTCTCAGAATTGCATTACTTACCCATTCTCTCTGCTTCCACATCAATCTTTGTCTTGAATTTGCCTGTTTTTTTCCTGACCCTCCTGTGTTTCTAGCATGCTTTCCAGTTAAAAGTTATTTTCATTCATCACAAAGAATTTAGTTGGTCCTAACAAAACAGATCAAAAATAGTTTTTTGTTATTCCTCAAGGACAGAATCATGTAAGCAGTTTTATCTCCCTCTTTCTCCTTCATTATGGTAGCCAAAAATTCAAATGACAATCATGTTGAATGAAAAGCATATTTATCACTGTACAATATAATTTTGTTTCTTGTTATTCTTGACCTTATAAAAAACCCCAACAAACACCACCAAAAAACATTGCAATTTTTAAAAATTCCCCTGCTCTTGACAGGTGAATGTTATGAAAAGAAAGTTGCCTAATGTTAAATTCATTGTCACTGGATCAGTTTTATGAAAAAGTTAGTTTTATTCAGTCAACCCTATAATAATGTAAGCTGTCACTTGACTTCTGTAAAATTCTCTAGATAAATATCTTGTCTGCCCAATTTAATGTCCTGTGATGATTTTTTTTTTTAACTGGAGGTTTTATCCTTTAAAGACTGTAAATGTAACCTTGTCAAATATGGAGATGTTTATGTGTTAATGTAAAAGACAGTACACAAATAACTGGTACTCTGATAAACGTGTGTTTCTGACACTTGTGTTTTCTGTGTATGCAAAGGTCAAAATGTCTCTGTAATCTCAGGCTATGTTCATTAACTGAAGTTTAATAATTCATACAATTTACCATTATGTAACTTTAAGAGCTTCATGTAGGATGTTGCATTAATCCGTAAACAAATTATTTGTACTTTTTGAGGTGTCTTGCAGTCTGTGCTGGTTTCTAACCCAAGTTGCTTTTCTCCCCTGCAGATGGACCTCCTGTGGTGGCTCACTATGATATATCAGACACAAACTCAGACCCAGAAGTGGTAAATGTGGACAATCTGTTGGCGGCTGCAGTAGTTCAAGAGCACACTAATTCTTTAGGAAATCAAGACTCAGGATCTGCCTGGAGAACCAGAGGGCTGCTGAATGAAATGAGTGCTGATACAGGTTTGTTTAAATTCTCTGACATTTGTGCCTGCAGTGCAGTTGGTGGGTCTCCCTTTCTTGCTTTCAGTGTTTTTGTAATTTATACAGCTGTAAAAGCTCCCTATGTGGCTTTTGTGAGAAAACAGGACAGGTGCTTATTAAAAAGGTCTGACATTTACTCCAAAATACAAATGATAAAAAATGACAAATGTTTCTGAAATATATTTTTGACATTAATTTTCTTAACTACTTTTCTTCTTCTTCTTTTCCTTCTAATTACTACAGGGAGCTTAGATCTGGGATTTTGGTAGTGGTTTTTTTTAAAATGAAAGTGACCTAATCTTGTTGCTGAATGATTGATTATGACAACCCATGCCACCAGCTAGTCAACTGGTCCTAATCTCATTTTCAAGATTGGGATTGCCTGTGGATGGGGTTTTTTAAAATTTTTTTTTGTTTTTCTCTTTGTATCTGTAAAATACAATCATTAATTCTTCCCATATTCCATCTGCATTTCCAGTACCACTCAGAAGATTGGACAGTGTTTTGGATGTTAGCAGGGATCATTTTCTATCAGCTTTATCATAGCTTTTTATGCCAATGTTTTACTTCCTTTTCACTCCTTTTCTTAACTCCCATGTTAGGATTTCAGGCTGCATTAGACACACAAGTCTTGCCTGGTGGAGCACAACAGGTTTGTGTTTCGTGCTGTTTCCCTGCGGTCTCCTGCCACAGGGCACCCACATGGGGAGTGTTGTGGAGGCTCTGAGATGCTTTTCACTGTCTCCAAGGCTTAAAGAAATACAATTAGGTAGTGCTTTGTAAAGAGATGCTCCATTACTATGGAGTCTACAAGTGCACAATTTGAGTATGAGAATCTCTGTGCATCATTTTCTCTGTGGTCCATGGCTGGATGTTGTTCCATCCATGTTGTTTTTGAAGCTTGCCTTTGTTTTCCAAGCTCACTGCTATTTTTTGCAGGACAGCAGCTGACAGATAGCTATTTGACCTCTAGAAATCCCAGTTCTTTATTAAGGGATTTGTTAAACAATTAGAACAGCTGAAATCACCTGGATTACATAGCACTAATGGATAAGTACACCAAATGAATGTAAGGAAATAAAAGGTAATGTTTCTTACCAAGCTTTCTTCCACTTTTCTCTTGAAATGCTGCAGTGCAGGTAGGATTTTTTTTTTTTTCTTTCCTCCACATATATCCAAGGGGACTTGCAGGTAAAAGACAACTGGAAACACCAAGAGACTTCTTCATCCCTGGGAATGTTGATATGGATTTGGTCCTGGTTGTATGGCTGTGTCAGCCACTGAAAGGATGAATCTCTGTTTGCTCTGCATACACCTTTCCCTGCAGCCTCAGAACACATCTGACTGCACCTTTGCCAGTGCTGCCCTTTTCCTGCCAGCTCTAGGGCTGCACATTGGGAAAGCAGAATTTTCAAATCTTGCATGTGGTTCACAAGTGTAATCTTCAGCCAGCATCTTGTTTAGCAGACTTAAAGGAATGTATTTCCATGGGAAAATAGCAACATCAGCAGCTCTATCAAAGTGAAAAATCTTATTGCACTATCACATCTTTGTGCGTGGGCAAATATTTGGGGCTCTTTTGCAAGCCCTGGTGGCATAGGGCAAACAAAACATCACTTTGGGCGTCATCCTAGTGTTTGTGCAAAGAAATGAACAGTGTGGGCATGAAATTTGTATGGCCAGAGGCTGTAAATCTGTCTGTCTGTGCTATAATCCTGATTAACACTCAGCTACTCTTGCAGTATTTACTCTGCTAATCATGGTTTTGCTACTGCTAATTGTCTTTTTGTTGTCTGAACTTAAAGCTGTAGTAATATGTGGAAGCTCTTTTAGGACTCCAGTTTATACCTCTGGGGGTAGTTTTTGGGGCTATTCAGGAGCTGGTCTGCTTTGCTCCTTTGCCAGACATTACCCTGACAAGATAATGAAGGGTGGTTAGGCAGTAAAACAATAGATATCATATTAATAGGTATTTTATTATATTATATAATATTATGGCCATCCCATTCCCATTCCTTGCCATGGTCAGGGACACCTTCCACTGTCCCAGGCTGCTCCCAGCCCTGTCCAGCCTGGCCTTGGGCACTGCCAGGGATCCAGGGGCAGCCACGGCTGCTCTGGGCACCCTGGGCCAGGGCCTGCCCACCCTCATGGGGAAGAATTTCTCCCCAGTGTCCAATCCAGTCCTGCCCTCTGGCAATGTGAAGCCCCTGGGAAGTGAGTTAAAGCCTCTGAGCACTTTCCTGTCATGTTTCACAGTCTGCCCAGCCACTTCAAGAAATACCCATGACCCATTTTTGGGCTTTCTGGCAGTCAGTGATGTTTGCCAATAAATGTTCAGCTCAACTGCAATACTCAGAAGAGACTGTCCGGGCTATTAATTTGTTTTAAGTTCAGCTGACCAATATTTTTTTGTCTTGTGAGGTGGAAATTCCTCCTTTGGGTACCTGGCAGCACATGTGTTCCTTTCCCTTCCCTTGCTAACCCTGATCCAGTCACCAAGGGTCTCGGCTTTCCAAAAATGGCACACACAGCATGGTCTCTGCTCCTGCACAAGAGCTGCACAGCCCCTGGGGACAAGGCAGGCAGGGACAGCAGCCAGGCAATGGCTCCCACTGCCAGAGGGCAGGGACAGATTTTGGCAGATTGGGAATTAGGAATTGCTGGCTGGGAGGGTGGGCAGGCCCTGGCCCAGGGTGCCCAGAGCAGCTGTGGCTGCCCCTGGATCCCTGGCAGTGTCCCAGGCCAGGCTGGATGGGGCTGGGAGCAGCCTGGGACAGTGGGAGGTGTCCCTGCCCATGGCAGGGGGTGGCACTGGATAAGCTTTAAGGCCCCTTTCAGCTAAACCATTCTGTGATTCCATTTGCTTGCATCTTTCCCACGTGCTTAAAGCACTCATTAGAAAGTTTCCCTGGCACTTGTTTCAGGTTTAATTTCTTCTGTTTCCATTTAATGTCCCTGGGGGTATAATCAGTTCTGCTTGTTCACACACCTTTGAAATCCTGTGGATCATTATTGCTTCTCCTCCTCCTCTCATCTTTGAGGAGGTGTCCACTCAAACTAGACACACATAAAATATTCACCTACTCTAAAATTTCCTGCTCAACAAATGACTCTGCCCTGTGTAGTACAGCTGACCAAGTGGTTTTTCAGAAGTAGGCAGGATCAGCTACTTCAAGGCTGCCCAGCATCCCTCAGGCTAATGATAAAGAGAGACAGTGGAATTAATAATTTTCTCTTTTTCCTGAGGGGGAAAAAAAAAAAAGGGTAGAAGTTATATCTTTTAATTAACTGATTTTTCAAGGAATCTATTTTCTGTGGGAGAAATAATAATTTCGGCTGCTTTGTGTTTCCCATGTAAGTATTATCCTGTATGACTCAACACATTCACTAATTGGGGTGAAGAACCTTCTTAGCAGCACTTGGCAGAAAAGGCAGATATGTGCCACACTTGCTGTGAGTGTTTAGAGAGGGCTTGTGGTTTGACTGACTGACAAACTGGATGTCACTGAGGAACTGTAATGAAAAAAACAGCCCTGCTGCATATGGGACTTAAATAAACCACTTTTTATTTTCAAATATTTGTAATAATGTTAGAGCAGATGTGTGAAGCAGCACTGCCAGAAATGGATGGGTTTGCTGTGTTTTTCTGCTGACCAGTTTCCCCTAGTTTTTTATTTAAAGAAATTAAATCAATTTTCCTTAATGCGTGGATGCTTCTGTCCAGCTTATTGACTTTTTTTTGCTATAGTATCATTGTGTTTGCTTAGATTGTTTTGTTTCTTAATGTCAAGGAGGTTTAGGGACAGTCTGACTCTTGCCATAAGAGCCTGTCTGACTGTCATAACATTCAGCTGGAAATTCTGGTTGTTCTTGGTGCAACAGTCAGGCTTTGTTCACATTTGTGTGCCAGCACCATCACCAGAGCTGCTGACACTGGCTAAACCCAGTGATTTTCCTGTATCGGGTGATTAATTGTGAGTTGAAAAATTTGGTCTAAAAACTTGGTTTTTTGTTAGGTTGGGAAGCTCCTTTTCCTGCTGATTTCTGGGTCATGTAAGCTGCTAATCACTGTCTGTATTCCCATTTTCCCCATCTCTAGGTCGTTTGGATCCAGGCTTCCTTACAGGTGACAAAACCTCTTGTGGCAATGCCCAGGCCAGTGAAGAAATTAACATTGCCTCTTCTGATAGCGAAGTGGAGATTGTTGGAGTTCAGGAACATGCCAGGTATGAATTATTTTTTCTTGCTCTAATATTAATTTCATTTTATCAGAATGTCTGTGATACCATAATCAATAAAGAAAAAACTACTGATCATCACTTCTCTAGTTACCCATCCATGAGTGATGCCCAAAAGGCAGCAATGTTGCACTTTTCTTTTTCTGTTTTGCTGGTCATGGTGATTTTGGAATGTGTTTTTCTTTAGAAAGTGACCAATTTGATAGTTATTCAGATTAAAATTGTGTTTCAATATCAAACTGTAACTGGCTAAAAGATGTGTGATATAAAAATACCAAATATTGAGATACTAAGTGTACATACATCAGAAATTCAGATTTTAATGGAATACATGAATATACAAATAACTAAGTGAAAATCTTTGTGTGGGTTCTTATTTCCTTTTGAAATATTAAGTTTTTTTAGTAGCTTCCACTTCATTTAATTAGTCATTAGGGGTAAAAATACTATAAGTTTTTTAATGGCTAATGTCATAAGATATCCCCTTTAGGTTAAAAATCAGATAATTTTGAATCTTGGGTTTATTTCAAGATAGGTCAAAGTAGATGAGGGTAAGGATGCCAGAGGTTTCTCTCTCAGTCAGAAACCTGTGCAGCTGCTCTCCCTGGTAGGTATTTTTTTTTTATGTTACTCATAATTTTTAGTCTGTAGTCTTTCCTTGGCTTAAAATATTATGAAGCAGTTAAGCAAAACTGACATTTTCTAATAGTGTGGAGTGTGAATTTGGTGGAATAAAACCAAGTTAAAACAGTACACAGACAAGCTGCTTCCAAAATTTTCTGCTGCCTAGTGGGTGCTTGGAGGCAGAAAAGGGTGTGAGGAACATGGAAGAGAGTTGCTTGTCCCTTCACTGCTTCTTCCTTGAGGAAAGGAGAAAGAAAGTGTTCAGGACCCAATTTCCCAGGCAGGAAACTTCGTGGATAGTGTGGGCACAGCCCAGTGCTGTTGGCTGTGAAAAAAAGGAAATTTTCAGGTCCAGAAAGGGGATTTAGTCTTACCTTTTGGAGCAGTGAGAAGGTCCTTGCATGGCCAACTCTTTTGGAGGATGGTAATTCCTTAGACAGCAGCTCTCCTGGCTGTTTATGCACAGAACCCGGGGCTGGGAGGGTGTTTGTGCTGGTGGTGAGGGGTGTGGATTCACCCTCAGCACTGCTGCTGTAAATCGGTGCAGCTCTGCACACAGCACCCTTGTGCTGCTGCCCCTCTTTGGAAGCTTTCCATGCTGCTGCCTCAATAATACTCACTCTCTGTGGGAATGCAAACATGAGCTAAATGCAGAGCTGCTGTTTAAAATGAGTTTTAGTAGATAAGAACTGAAATGATTTCAGCAAATCAGCCTAAAAGCACTCTCCTGTGCTTTCCTTTGTTCCTGTACCCATCTCCTGCAGACCTGTGTTTACTGCCTCCCTGGAATACTCACTCACACATTTCACTTGTTTGAATCCTATTTAGAGTTTTATTTCTCTTGCAGGTCTAGGCTTGCAGTTATGAAGTATTGATGGGCTTCTGGCAGGGTTGTTGTTTGGACAGGAGTTAGGTTTTTGATCAGTAATTTCTGCACACTTAGCTAGTGTGGTGTTTGGATCCTGGTTTTTATCATGCTCCCTATTCCATGTCTGGTGTGAGTTGTGACTCCCTGGAGTTTGTCCATGGTTTGTAGTTCTTCAGATTCTGAGTGAATTGGTGCTGTTTCTCATCATTGGGACATTCCTTGGCATCTGCGTAGGACACCGAGTCATATTTTTCAGTTTGTTTCATTTTTCACCAGTAGAATTTTTTTTAATCATACATGCATATAGACCGGTTTTCCTCTAGTTTTTCCTAGGAGGTTTTTTGGGTTTTTTATTGCCTTTACTTGGTATCTTCCCTTAGCTGTAGATTGGAAGCATGTTCGACTCAATGTTTTGTTGGCTGCTTGTGTGACTAGTTTGAGGATAAACACTTCTACTTTTCAGAGGTATCTTTGTGAGATAATTTATGGCTTGTCTTCAGGAAGAAGAGTTAGTCTTAGTTTTGCCTAAACACTTGAGGACTGTTCTCAGAATGGTGCACCACAGTTCCTGAGACCAAACATCATATTTAATTTGCTCTGCCTACAAGATTTTCTTACCAGTTAAGCTTAAAAATACTTCTCCTTAAAAGAGAGCTTTAAAAGAAAGAAATCCCATACATTTTTTAGACTTCCAGGATCTTATTGCTAATTCCTTGTAGATATATACTTTAAGTATGTGTTTTTATGACAGAACAAGTAATAAAAGAGCCATTCTGAACATCACATCTAAACCCAAGCAGCATATCTGAGAAGGCAATGAGACATTTATATTCAGAGAAGTTACAGCTGAGAGAATGAGATTTTTTATTCTATTTCACGAAACTCCAACCAGAGCCAAGAGAGCTGAGCATAACCTATGTAGTTTTGGAGAAAATAAATAGCACGGACGTAAATTGGAATAAATAAAACGTAAATGTCAGGGATATTTGATCAGTGAAGGAAATTGGAGTTCCTGAAATACACGTGCCTTCACAAAGAAATGGGAAAAGGTTACCCCAGCAGCCAGAGCACCTCGTGTTTATCCATGCAGCCAGGAGGAGCTGCAGCCACTACCAGTGCTTACAAGAGCAAAACAATTTTTGGAGCACTAGGTATCAAGTTTTATTAATGCCTGTGTAGGATTTACAGCTGGAAATTGAGTGATCATCCTAAAGCCTCTAATAAATTCCTGTCATCACTTCATCATACACAAAATCATTCTACCTTTCGTTTTGCATTTATTTTTTCTAATTGCTCTTAACCTGAGACTCATTTGTCATGTATCTACTATGGATATAATAGGTAAAAATGCTGTGTGGAAGGTACCTGTGTATCATGCTTCAGCAGGGCACTGGAGCCTTATCTTCAAATACACCTTTTAGTCTCGTTGGCTGCAGTCACTTAAAGCTTAAATGTTTTGCTGAAGTGGGGCTGAACTGTTGTCAGTGAGCATTTCCCAGAGTGTTTGTAATTTTCAGTTAAAAAGACCAAAAGAAAAAAAAGTCAGGCATAACGACTGTAATAACATAATTAGCAAGATCTCTTGCAATTATTGTAATGTAAGTATCATTACTTCCTTGTTTTAATATGGCTTTGATTTAATATTGCAGTATAACTTTTCATTTTCTCTTAGGCAGCCTCACTGCAGATTTTTCTCTTTTTAGAAAGTCCAGTGGGTAAAGCTGCATCGGGAAACTGTGCATGGGATTACACATGGTAGGGGAGGCTTCCTCAAGATCACTGGGATCCATGCACATATTTTTTAAGGAGGATCACTGTGATGGTGTTCACAGGGGTCTCAGGCTGAGGGAAGAGACGAGGGTTTGACTCCATATTTCAGAAGGCTTGATTTATTATTTTATTATATATATTACATTAAAACTATACTAAAAGAATAGAAGAAAAAGTTTCATCTCAGGAGGTTAGTTAAGCTAAGAATAGAAAAGAATGAATAACAAAGGCAGCTGTCCCAGACTCTCTGTCCGAGCCAGCTGACTGTGATTGGCCATTAATTACAAACAACCCCATGAGACCAATCACAGATCCACCTGATGCATTCCACAGCAGCAGATAATCAATGTTTACATTCTGTTCCTGAGGCCTCGCAGCTTCTCAGGATGAAAAAATCCTAAGGAAAGGATTTTCATAAAAAGATGTCTGCGACAGATCACATTACACTCACTAGCATTCCTTTGGAATAATTTAATCCCCAAATTTAAATCCAGCTGTGTTCATTTGAGATGCCGCGGACTCTACAAGTGGAGAGTCCAGTTTGGAGAGGGAAGTGCTAACCAGACAGCGAGCAGCTGGAGGAGGGGGTGTGTTGTGTGCGCTGAGCAGTGTCGCTGAGGCTGCGTGTGCCCCTCTCCTCGTGCAGGTGTGTGCATCCCAGGGGAGGGGTGATCCAGAGCGTGGCCTCCTGGAAGCGCGGCTCGCCCTTCGGCAGCGCCCAGCCCGCGCAGCCATGGACAGCAGTGGCTCCCCAGCAGAACTGGTCCTCGCCCCCAGAAGTGGTGGATCTGACTCTGGACGAGGACACCAGGCGCAAATACCTCCTGTAAGGCCGTGTCACTGTGCTCTGCCCCCTCCCTGCCGCCCTCCCTGGCACAGAGCGGTGACACCGTCACCTCCAGAGCCCCGTCCTTGGCACCAAGAAACCCAAACCCACGGCGGTTCTCCACCTCCACGCAGGAATGTAGTCTGATTTCAGTATCACTTCAAAGGGTTTTGCCTTCTCCGAGGAGGATTCCTGCCCAGAATTAACAGCACCAAATTTTAAACACATCTGCAGTTACTAACGTGTGCGTGTACACCTAACGAAATAACTGCGTGCAAACTTACGTCCTGCCACGCTCCCCACCTCCCAACTCCAGGACTTTTTTAATTTATCAGTATCTTGAGTTTGTTAGTAGAAGTTAGTGTGTTGCTGTGTGAGCATCAGTGATTTTGAGAAATGCTGTGTCCTCACTGATTTCAGTGGAATTGGGGAGTATTCAACACTTCCAAAATTTGGGCCAGGAGTATTTTTACCCAAACTGATTTGGTTATGTTACCAGCAGGAGGGATTGTTTTTAATGCAAATGGCCCATAAAAATGCACTGAACAGCTTTTAATTAAAACATTTTTTATTTTCAATGTATTTTATAGTTTTTACTTTTCAGTGCTGAGTCTTCTGTCCACTTGACTACTGTGTTTCACTGGTCAATTCCCACAGCTTGGAATGGCTAAAATAGTAATAGTAGTGACTTAGGAACAGCTGAACATTGCAAAAGCACAGAAAAAGGTAATAAAAAGGCCCAGCATCCATCTCCTTTTTAATTATAGCTTATTATTATTATTATTACCTCTATCTGAGTTTTGCCTGGAGTAGATGAAGAAGAGGAATTAAATGTTTTACTCACAGTCCCCATCTCTACTGCTGCTTGTTTGCGTCATTCACCATCTCAGAAAACAGAAAACAAATCCCAAGCAGATTCCAAAGCTCCAGCCTGGCAAAGGGGTGGTCAGCTGGGACCTGTTCCTGGAATTTGTGGGGCCACTCAAGTGCTTAAAACTCTGTCCTGAAAGATGTTGCAGGATCAGGGTCACAAACTAAGGTTGTGGTTTTTAACTTTTTTTTTGTTTTAAATTAATAATCTGCACCATTTCCCTGGCTTTCAATCATGCCTCTCCTGCTAGTTTTGGAAATGCCAAGATTCAGAAAACACCTTCTACCAGAATATTTACCAAAATCAGTGGAACAACTCACTTTAGCGGGCTGCAGTTTCTGTGGTGTACATGGAAATTCTTGCCCCTCATCTGTCATTTTGAGCCTTTCCCAAGGCAAAAACCAAAGATTAAACTTTGACAAGATGATATTATTCACCTTAAATGTCTACTGTGCAATTGAAACATTCCTTCATATTCCAGATGTTTCTATTGGGAATTTTGTACAGCTCTGCCATTAGATTTTTCACTATTTGAAGCTTGAAAAAGGGTGGTCAGGACATGGGAAGTTCTGCTTTTCTTTTGTACTGGCTGGTTTTATTTGGCTTCCCTTAATTTTATCTGTGGGCAAAATAAAAAATTAAAATAGAGTTACCTGTGTTGTCACATAAAGGCAAAACAGCCCAGCAGGGGGGTATCTTTAGTAACAAACATCTGTTTCTTCCATAAGCAGAACAGCTCATGCTGCACTTTACACAACAGCTAGGTAAGGACTGATATTCCCATTTCCAGCTTTCTAGAACATTGAACATAAGTGTCCTGCATGGCCAGAGAAGTACCTGTGGTGTTTTCAGTGACCAATTCCTTTCTGTGGGAGGGAGGGAGGGAGGGGAGCATGGGTGGATCCTGTTGGCCCCGCAGCAGGGAGAGGCCCCGTGCTGCTCTGCCCATCCTTTCTGCTCATCTTTGCATCAGCTGTGGGCTCACACTCCTGCTGTAAAGGTAACTTTGGAGCAGCCACCTCCCGTGGCTGCTGCTTCCCGTTCCACAGAGTCTCCTGAGGAGTGGTTGTGGGGAAAGCTGCAGGGACCCCGTCTGCAGCCCTTCCGTGAGAAATGCAAACGACCTCTCCTTGTTTTGCAGTTTGTATATGATGTGACTTCCACGTGTACATAAAAACAACTGCCTCCTAACCAAACTTCCTCCAACTGTGCACTGTGTTTGTTTAAACAGCTCATGTATGGTAGTCCGATGCAGGTTTTCTTTTATTTAAAACACTATGTATTTTCTCTTAACAAATTTCAAGGCTAGTGATCTGAAAAAAGCAATCACTGGATATAGGTAGGAAATAGTTCGGTTTTATTTCCTTTGTTTTTTAAATTTTTTTTTAACTTCTGTTTTTGTTTTTTTTTTTCTTTTTAAAAAGAGCAAAAACGTGCCTGGGTGGTTTTTGCTCTTCTCAGCAGGAAAGAGAAAAGTTAGCCATTGTATGGCTGTGAACCAATGCACTTGGGGCCTGGACCAGAACCCACTGGGGTCGGTGTGGGGCTGCCCATCGACCTCAGTGTGCATTGGCTCGAGCCCTTCAGGGTTTAGCAGTTTTCCTGAATTGCTGGAGTGTGAGCTTGGAATCTTCTGTAGTGAAGACAAATCATTGCTCGGAATATAAATGTTTAAAATGTGTGGCTCTAGTTAAAAATAAAATTCAATTCTTCTCGACACTCACTATTTAGTTCTCATTTTCCATCTAGTATTTAATGGTCTTTGGAGAGAAATAATAATAAAACAGAGTGTTATATATATATATATATATATATAAAAATATATATATTTTTGGTGCAAGATGAGACCTTCTGTTTTTTGAAACAAGTCTGTAGCATAAAGGTTAAACTATTTTAAGACAAAATAAAATAGAGTGTATTATTTAAACAATATTGATTTGTTGGGGTTTTTTTCCTTCCACTTCCATCAAATATGCTGCTGTTTGTCACATCTACAAATTAAACTTGTAAATTCTGTGTTACAGTTGCTGAAATTCAGCAGTATGTCTTGCTGTAACACATTTAATTTTGCACTTCCAGAATGTTTAAGTGATTTCTTGGCTGCAAAACTTTCCTTTTATCTCAGACCAGGGGAGGGCTGACACTTCTCCCATAGTCTTGCTGCCAGAGGTTGTGCAGGTACCAGTGACAAGTGGCTGCTGCCCGTCACAGAATCCCAGGACAGTTTGGTTTGGGTTGGAAGGGACCTCAAAGATCTTCCAATTCCACCCCCTGCCATGGGCAGGGACAGCTCCCACCATCCCAGGCTGCTCCCAGCCCCATCCAGCCTGGCCTGGGGCACTGCCAGGGATCCAGGGGCAGCCACAGCTGCTCTGGGCACCCTGGGCCAGGGCCTGCCCACCCTCCCAGACAGCAATTCCTAATTCCCAATGGGCCAAAATCTGTGCCTGCCCTCTGGCAGTGGGAGCCATTGCCTGGCTGCTGTCCCTGCCTGCCTTGTCCCCAGGGGCTGTGCAGCTCTCCTGGAGCCCCTGCAGGCCCTGGCAGGGGCTCTGAGGTGTCCCTGGAGCTTCTCTGGTGCAGCTGAGCAGCCCCAGCTGTGCCAGGCTGGCTCCAGAGCAGAGGGGCTCCAGCCCTGGCAGCAGCTCCGTGGCCTCCTCTGCACTGGCTGCAGCAGCTCCCTGCCCTCCCTGTTTTGGGGCTCACTGTGCCCTGCAGAATCCCCTCCAGGGATGCAGTTGCAGCACAGCCTCCACCTCCCCACACACCTGAGTCCTTCAGGTGTCTGAGCAACCTTCCCACCATTGTTTTTGTGACTGCATCCCCCTGTGCCATCCCCCAGACACCTTCTGCTGTCAGTGGCACTGCCTGGCTCAGAGGTGATGCTCCAGGGTGGTGCCAGGTGTTCAGAGAACCACAAAATTGTGTGGGGGAATTTGGAGCCACAAGTAAAGAGGAGGATGGTAAAGGACAACTGCACTGTGCTGAACGTGGGGTCCTGCTGCCTGCCAGCCCCCTCACAGGCAAAATGGGAATGGGAATCGGAATAAAAATAATAATGATTGTAATTCAGTACCTCTGCTGGGCTTTATATGTATTTATCGCATGAGAAAGCTCCCAGTGCAAATCAGGAATAACACTTATCCATGTATTTTAAGTACCAATATGGATAATGAAGGTAAAGTGGTCTTCAGCCTTACTGAGTTCTTGGCATTTGTGGAGCCTGAAAATACAAAATCTGGGCCGGGTGGTCATTGCGGAGCCAACCAATCTCAGATTTTATTTTGTGTTTATCAGCAGCTGAGGGAGAACAGAACCCTGTTCTGGAGTTTGGTGCAGATGTGGGAAGAGGACAGATAAAATATCTGCTGAATCTGTTCTTCTCTATCACCAAGAGATACCCACAGTCTGTAGGCTTCAGGGTACACTGGATGGAAAATTTAAAATTCTTCCTGTGGCTCTTGGCACTTCCTTATGCAGGAGCCACTTGACTCTGTGGGAATTGCTATTTCTGGGGCAACAAAAAACTAATGAAAACTACCCAGAACCAGGTTACATTTTGTATTGTGTTTCCCCCAGTGAATTGGTTGCAATTCAGACTAATTCTGTGGCTGAAAATTTGGTTGAAATCAGGACTGAAGGGGTTGTGCTAAGTGGCTTTGTTCCCCAGCTCCCTGGAGAATCTGCAAATGGTGCTCTTTGCTGAAGGCATCACCTCCCTTGGCTGAAACTCTGCCAGTTTTGCCTCTCCTTTTTGGGGCTGTCATCTCTGAATGTCAGCTGCTGTGGCTTTCCCCCCAGAGCACCCCAGGGATGCAGTTTCCCTTCTGCCACCACAGGGAAGGAGCAGAATGCCTGCAAAACGCAAACTTGGGATGCACAAACCCTGCACTTACTGACAACTTTGGTGCAAATAAGGTGAAATCCTCTTGTTACTGGTGCTAAAGGGCAGACAAGGATCCAACCATGGATCCCCCCAGTCTGTATCTTGAGTTTTGGAAAAGCAAATTCAATCCTGAGAGTCCTGACAACTGCTGATTCACAAATGCCCCTTGGAAGTTTTCTCATGGATCTGGTTAGTCATCTGGGTTTGCAATTTAGTTTAAAATTAGAATTGAGTGCCAGCCACTGGGAAGGCAGCATCTTTCAGACAGTCTCGGGGCAAAGCTGGAGTGGGCAGGGGGAAAGCTGTCTGGAAGTTTAATTTCAGATAATTTTCTACACTTACTCGCTGCATCGGCAGCTTCGGGTGAATCCAGGGCAGCCACATCAGAGCTGGGAAAACAAACAAGAGTGCTCTGTCAAATTCATTTTCCATTGCTGTAGGTGCTGTGAATTGAGCACAGCTCCTGGAGCCTGACTGGTGCCTCTGATGAAATGCCATCCGCAGCTGGGCAGGGCTTCTGCTTTGTCCCCGGCTGGCCCGTGATCAGCGACTCCCAAACCTTTCCTGCTTTGTTTCTTCCACATCCCTGGGTGTCTGCTTCAAACTGGGAATTGCTGAGTGCCAGTGAACCCCAGTGTCAGGCCAGTCACAGAATCACAGAATTATTTGGGTTAGAAGAGAACTTAAAGACCAACTAATTCCAACTCCCTGCCATGGGCAGGGACAGCTCCCACTGTCCCAGGCTGCTCCCAGCCCCATCCAGCCTGGCCTGGGACACTGCCAGGGATCCAGGGGCAGCCACAGCTGCTCTGGGCACCCTGGGCCAGGGCCTGCCCACCCTCCCAGCCAGCAATTCCTAATTCCCAATGTGCCAAAATCTGTCCCTGCCCTCTGGCAGTGGGAGCCATTGCCTGGGTGCTGTCCCTGCCTGCCTTGTCCCCAGGGGCTGTGCAGCTCTCCTGGAGCCCCTGCAGGCCCTGGCAGGGGCTCTGAGGTGTCCCTGGAGCCTTCTCTTCTCTAGGTAACACACCAAGACCAGAATACAAAACCACAGTGAGCAAATCCTAATAGGAAGAGGGGATCATTTCAAAAACAACCTCACAACATGTCTCAGAAGAGGCCTGGCAAGTTGAAAATGTTGTTTAGTTCAATCCCCCCATAGCAAAAGGAGAATGAGCCCCTGGTGCCCACAGGAGACCTCCACAGTTCCCAAGCATTTTCTGTGGTTGGGAAGTTGTGTAAACAAAGTCTCAGGCCATTAAAAACCCCATCCCACTTGCAGCTGATGAATCCTCGACTCCTTGGACAATCCATCTGTCCTCCATCTGCTTGTCAAAAGGAGGAATTAGGGCTATAATTAAAGCTGTCCCACCTGGGCATGGCACAATGCAGGGAGTGAGATTTCTGTGAGGGGCTGAGCTCCCTGACACTCAAAAAATTGTTATTTTAATGCTTTATTTTCCCAGTAAGCAGCAGGATTGCATACTACAGCCAAGTTCTGGAGGGGTGATGCAGCACTCCCTCATCCTTCGATGGCCAGTGTAAGGTCTTGCCCTGGGCCAGCATTCCCAGCTTCTCCAAGGGTACAGAAAAACTCTAAAATGTCCTCAAAATTATCCAAAATGCTCCAAAATTATCTTTACACCTGCATCCTCTCCTTCCCTGTGCCCCAGGGAGAAATCCCTGTAATTGCTGGGGCTCCAGG